TATATTTAAAATACAGGTATGTATTACAATATATGGAATCCAATATCCCTCCCTGCTTAGAATTCATTAACTTGTGCCTTTTTCCCTCAAAGACTGTAACAACTTGCTTACATATTTACCTAATTTAACGCTCCACTAAACATTTCTGAGTCTTTGCAAAATTTTATTCCTTTTAAATATCTTTTGTTTTATGGCTTCCACTCTCTTAAATATTTTTATATTACAAATAATATTCACTCTTTTGGCTTATTCTATTTCTGTTTTTTAATGTAGCAGGTAATTTGAAAAGCATTCTGATTTCTGATAGCCAGCAAAAAAATTATATTTGCTTTGCAAATATATTGAACCCCTAGCTCAAAAAAATGAAGCATCCAGTGTGTTTCATTATTCCATGTTCAGTATAATGTTGGGAGGTATCAGTCTGTCACCCTCAAGAGCTTGTGGTTTTCATGGTCATACATGGCTAAAGCTTCTTAACATTTTATGGGAGTCTATGTCACATTTTCAAAATCCAACTATGAGTATTGGAACCTAATTATATTTGTTAGGCTTCTTTATGCCTATTCTTATAGACGTTAGGTTTCTTTATGCCCTTTAAAATTAGGACACTGGACACTTCTGAAAATTTTATTTCATGATCATTCTTGTTATTTCTACTGCCTAATAATTAAGGCAATTAGATTTTTTTTTCCTGCATTCCTGTCATTAGCATGCATTTGACATACTCAGCTGATTATTGGATACTGGACTGCTTTACATTTCTGAATTAACACCACATCATCAAAAGTAGAATGTTCCTGATGAAAACTAACAGCAAGATTTGAGGTAGAGCAAACTGATAACACAGGTCCTCATCACTGCATGGTAAAATTCACAATGCTCCATGAACAATGCAGCCACAAAACTGTGAGAATGTCAGCACAGTGGTTCATGTGTTACGAAATTTTTACTTTCTTTTATCATGGTTGGGGGTTTTAAAATGAGGATGTAAAAAAATTTGCATAGGAAATAGCAACCACAGTTCAAGATAAATCATATACTCATCATAATTTCTGTTGTTAGATTACCTTTGCCATAGGTCCTCTGAGGAGCACCTTTCTAGAGGTCTATTTCTTTAAAAATCCCGTAATGCAGATAAAGTAAAACATATGCAGTAATGATTTAGCTGAGATGCTACGCTGTGTCTACAATGGAGTCCTTCTCTGACCTTGCCAAGTTTACAGACTGTGCCAATAACAGAGCTGGGATTTGAAAACTGACTGATTAAAATTTTGCTCACTAGGATAAAACACTTGAAATGAATCATCTAATTTTCCAGCATGTCCTCAGGTTGCTGCAGGCACAATAAATTACATTCATATAATAGCAAACAAGTACAAAAAAACAGAGTTAATACATTTAATATATATTGTTACACTGTGTCCTGTTTTTAAAACTCTCAATCACCTTAAATTTTGATATTCACAAAGAATGAAATAGATGACCATTATTTTTAGGGAGAAATTTCAGAATCATTTGACTGATCCAAAATACATAGAACTACACTGAAGTCTTTCTCCTGACTCAGTAGACCCCAGAAAAACTCATATCTGCTCATTTCTGATTAACATCAAATGCTATGCCTGGTATCTCCACAAAGAACACACTTACAGAGATGCTGAATGCTCTGGGTATGACCTTGCACTCCTGTGAAATGAGCAGAATATAAATAGAAAACAGCAACAAGCAGCCACAATGTAAAATAATCAGCAGAGGTAGTAATGGATGTAACGGCTGCCAATGCCTCCTGTACCATGGCAAAAATGCCATCTATCATATGGCAGCCTTGCAAGAGGTTCCAAAGGGCTGAGATTCCCCTAGGAGGCAAATCTTTGGATTTTCTATCTAGTGGAGAGATGCTTGCTCCTCCTCCAGAGGGAGATTAAGAGCATCCTCTTCCTGTTTCCTTCTCAAGGAGCCATGTTATTAGCAGTGTGGTTTCGGTAAAGACTCTTAAAATTTAAATTAAATTCTTCACATTACTAAAATTATTATTTTTTTATTCCATCTATTTGCACTGCATCCGTTACTGTAGTTCCCAAAAGTTTCAGAGCAAAATATGGTGGATGCTCTATAAAGACATCAAAAAAACCCAGAGTATCTCCTCACCCTTGTCTTCTTTTTCTGTTCATTTGATGCCATGAGTAACTCCCACAATTACTGAGAGGTACAGGAGTTACATTTTGCACTCTGTGCATTAATTGGATTTGAAAGCACTTGAACACATATAGATGTCAGGATGCCAGCTATCAGGCAAATTGGGGAAATGCCAAACCTGAAAGAAAACTGTAAAAATGAGATCATTGCAGCAGTTCTCAGCATGCTCAAAATTTATAATAGGCTTTTGAACTGGATTTGAAAGCATATGGACACTCTTAAAAGGAGCATCATAATTTTTTAACTCCTGAAAGGCAACCTGCACTCTTCAGAATATCCTATCATTCTGCTGCACTGGGAACCTGGTACCTATGAGGTAAGGCAGATTTCTGTATGATGAAATACTGATATTCAATTTTTTTTTTTTTATTGCAAATTGCATTACCATATCAAGGATTCAATATATTCCCAAAGTAATGCAGAAGTGTTAGCAAGTTAAAACTGCCCTGCTGCAGGGCTACAGCTGGAAATATTTCATTCTTCATACTACAAATATTTGCTTTCAATTTTAAAAAATGACAGCCATTGTTATCAACAGACAAACAACAAGTTAATCCTAAATAGCCATTTATCTCAGTAGTAATAAGGTACAAACAGATTACCTTTAAAAAATGCATTAAAAAATCAAAAAAAAACCAACACTCCTTCATTGATTTTGCTATATATAAGCTTTAATGTTTTATAAATGACTGCACAGGTGACTAATGAAAGAGGCTTCTCCAAAAAATAATCAAAGGTAGACTATAATCTCCCTGAAATAAAACTCTAATATTTATGTAAGTTAATGAATTTATAGACCAATGATGAGATGCTACTATATTTTAAAGAATGTTTCTTTATTCCTTTGTAGCCCTGAATAATAGGTTTGCTCTAACAGTAATATAATATCCTACAACTAAAGAAAAAATATGCAATTAGGAAAGAAATTCAATCCATGTAAAATTTTTTTTCACTTCTAAACTAAAAGAAAAATATATTAATCAAGGTTCAGATTTGGTATTGAACACATTGAACAATTACATGGAAAAAGATGTTTGCTTTTCACATAGAGTTCATTCACTTTAAGTTTACTTATTCAGGAAAACACTTAAGCACATGCTTGACTTTAAACACATGCTTTGGGCCCAGTGAAGCAAATGGGATTTAATCACATTCCAAATAGTGATGGATATAAAGCCAAAAGATATTAACATGAATGGTTTTTGGATTCAGGCTCAGCATTTTTCAAGTCTTAAATATACACATACAGACATGTACATACACATATACATACACCCACACACAGACACATACACAGAAAGATCTGTCTCCAAACTAAGCCAAAACTTGCAGAACCAGAATTCAAAAGATTATTTTCTAAGATATTAATTTCAGAGTAAAACTGAAAACAGAAAATTTTAAATACAGGCTACTTTATCTTACTGGCTCCTTAAATCACAAGTATATTTACTCTAAAGTCTGAGCATCTCCTAGCTGGAATCTTCCTTCCATACTCTCATGTCCCCGGTTTTGATCTCACAGAAAAGAAATGGTTTGGCTCTAACCAAAAATCCAGTTTACATAGTTTTTTTTTTTTTTTTTGTCATGCTTTGATTCCAGGAACAAGAATCAATTCCTCTTCTAAAGAGATGAGTCTCCTGATAAGAGATTCATGTTGGCAAAAGCACAGACCTTACATCACAGATCACTTTATAGACTTTTTCAAATGAGATACAAAATTAAAAATAAGTCATCCAATCTCTATAATTAGTTTACTATAATAATTAATTATTCAATCACTTATTGGGTTAACAATTAATCATTATTTTGCTGATAAATCAAAAGAAGAGTTCTTCTAGTTTTATCTCCCAAATGAAGGAAAAAACTCATTTTCAGAGGGAATTGCTAAAATAGGGGTTGGGTGAAGCTTCTTTGAGAATATGGTGCACATGAACATCCATTTTTTGGAGCACATTTAACAGGCAGCTCAGCTCTCTAAAAGCCTGATAATAACTGAAATGTAAAACATTCCCCCTGGACAATGGACATTGGACAAATCTGCCCAGCAGTAAGGCTATATCTTTGAGGAGACTTCTCCTGTGGGCTGAAGATAATGACCTGATTATCACTTGATGAAGATCTACAGATGAGTGGAGAGCAGCAGCCAAACAGTAAAAAAGTCAGGGGAACAGCAAGAGAAATACTTGCCATCCAACTACCAGATCATCTCTGCTACTTGGAAATCAGAATGAAACACAGAAAACAAACTGCTATCTCTTTTATTCCTGTTGTGCTTGAGGAAACATCTTCAGCCAAGAAGCAAAGTGGCATCTAAGAAATACTGCTTAGTACCACTGATTTCTCCCCAAAAACAAGAAAGGAAAACAGGATGCCAAAAACCAAAAAATAAAAAAACAAGACCCCACAAAACTAAACAAAAACACCAAGAAGAACCCCAAACAAACAAATGAACAAACAAACAAACAAACCCTCCTTCAAACCAAATGCTTTCTAATTGTTAAAAAACCTTACAGCTGACAAGAAGAACCTGATTTAACCAAATACTTATAAAAATAACTGGAGAAGGTTCTGTGCCTTGGTATTATGTAACACATTGGTCTAATGGTTTCCTGCACAACTAAATCAGGATATAAATCTCCACAGCCATGAGGAGCCCACTTCAGCCAAAGCCTGTCAGGGTTGGTTATGGAAGCTGTGTGTAGGGGAGCACCTGCACTGAGTCTGCAGGGTCTTGAGGTGTGACAGCACATATAAACTGACTGCATCCATGCCAGGACTACACACAAGAGATTTATTTTTCTTACCTGTGGTAGAAAACCCCCATGTCCAAGAAACAGGTGTTCAGGACTCTGTCTAAAACCCTTTTCTAAGCTGCCGTTTGCAAGAGAAAGCAGTATGGTGCCAGTTGTGTTCTAACAGCCTGAGAATGAAATGCATCAAAAGTAATGCAATAAAGTCTGTCTGATTTCCTTCCCATGTTTCCACAGAATCAAAAGATGGACTTGTCCCACTAATCTCCCTCTATCTGAAGCCCAGATGAAAAGCTGATCCTGGAATATATACTAATTTCAGTAAGCTCTGCAATAGGATGACTTACATTTCCAACATCATACAAACTGAAGTGAATCATTCCTCTTATTTGCAAAGCTGCTAACTTCCAAGGATGGCTTAGAAAAGATGTAAGGAAAACATAGCTGAAAGGCATCCAAAGTACATTCTACACCATACATGGAAAAGATACCAAGATGTCCAAGCTGGTAAATTCATGTATCACACAAACAACAATAATTTCCGCACTTGGATTCAGAAGCTGTGAAACTCTCTGTGCTGGAAAACAGCTATGCTTCTCTAAGGACTGAGGTGAAGGTGGTTCCTGGGGATGTGAGAGACTTTTCTGCTTGCTTTTAATATATTTGATAACTCCTAATACACAAGAGTTATAAAACTTAAAGTTGTAATGGTGTGCTGTTAAGATCAGCATCATAAATCTTTCTTTTGGCAGAGAGAAAGGGTTGGGCTTGAGAAAGGCACAAGAATGAGGATGAAAGACAACATTTCAGATACAAATAAAAAAATCTGTCTACACAACTATATGAATACCAGTATCAATTACTAGAATTTTGGAATCCATAACAAAATGGTGTTGAAATTTTAGTTAATGTTTGGATGACTGTTTTTTCCATCTCTATTAGATCTTGCATCTAATTTCATCTAATTTGCTGTTTAATTTGATAATTGTTTCACTTTATTCTTTATGTTACCATTACCTAAAGAACAGTAATTTTTAAAAACAATTTTCTTGTATGTGTTCAGATTATTCAATAACACTACCCATTACCCCAACATTTAACTTTATTGATAAAACTTTCTTATCTTAACCACTTTTACAATAGCAGAATCCAAGTGTCTTTATTTTTTCATACAAACATATAATCTGCTATTAGAAAAGGCAATGGAATATTTTACCTAAATCTTCAATTTTCCACTTACATCTCCAGTATTACATGGATTAGTAGAGAAGCTGGACACACTGCCCACAGACATCTTAAGATACTCAAACTGACAAGCATTGAAACCTAAAGGAAGGTTTGCACCTGGAGAAGCAATTATCACTTCTCTCTTTCCCAGAGAGAAAAATTAATATACTCTTCCCAAGCATAGCATTTTACAACTTGTCCAGCTAAAAAACATACTATTCTCCTTTATTTCAGATTGCTTCTTTTATTCCAGATTACCTTATGGAGGAGGATTACTACACAAATTCTGAATATTTTATTGGAATATATCTAAATTTGCTTCAAAGAGTTTCAATCTTACTGAAATAAAATGTTTTCATGAATCTTTTCAATATTCCCGGAGTGAAAGTTTCTGCAATCTTTATATTTAGTCTCTAGGTTTTATTTTGATTCATGATCACTAGAGAGGCATTTTTTATTTTGAATTTTTTACCAGCTTAAAAATAGCTAAATAATGTTTCTTATTATTAAATATTAAATATTACCATCGCAATTTCATATCTTTAGAGATTTCAGGAAGAGAACTGTGTAAATACCATTTTACTTTTCATCACCATGAATTCCCCACCTACTGACAAAAACCTCAGCTTATCAAGATGGTTTTTTTTCCCTCAAAGCAGATTTTTCAAGCTTGCATTTTAAGTTTGAATTTAACCTCAAAAGAGTAAGGTCCAAGGAAAGTATTTACAAGGGTTCATAGGCTATCCCTAATCAGCATCACTAATATTTTGCACTGGTTTATGACATTTCATTTACATTGTTTTCATTTCAGCTCCAGTACTCTCAGTGCACACTTCAGATATGAAGAGGCAGTACTTACCCAAGAAAAGGCTGCAAAAAATAAAATAACAACAACAACAACAAAAAAAAAATACAACACTAAGATCTTTTATTTCTGATAACATCTATACAAAAGATTTTCTTTGCTTTCCATGCAAATTTGTTGAGATCTCATACCAGTTATCCTTGGCTGGTGACCTTGACCAAAATTTCACTAGTATTCTTGTATTGCCTCCCCTCTCCGTCAGCCAGTTTAGAAACAACAGACTGCAGTGGCCTTTTCAACTCTTTTAGCTGTATTTTTATAACAGCAAAGAACATGGAGTATTTGAGCTTCTTTAGGATGAAAAGTGGAACATATTGTGCATGCCTTGAAAATTGGATACCTAGTGTCTTCTAGTTGAGCTGTTGTAAGAATAATCAGGGAACTTGCATCCAGAATCTCTTAATTACATGGATATCTTCTCTGTTTGCTAGGCACAGCAGATTACTGGGAGAGAGAGAAATGGAAAGTGCTCATATTGCTGGGAAAGAAAATAATTCAACAACAGCATTTTATTTAACTCAGTGTCCCTAAAGTGTTTTAAATGACGCCAGTCATTAAGGTCTTATAATTAAAGCCTTGCACAGTTATAAAATAATTAGGGCCTGATCTTGTAACATTTTCTCTCTGGAGAGCACACACATCAGATTCCCTTGGAATACTTGTAGAGTAAGCACAGTTGCTGCTAGGATGGATGTATCTGAACTAGCTTTTACCAAACTAGCCTGAGTGCTGTGCAGCAGTAACAGAGCAAAGCTCAGAAAATACTGCCTTTTTAATTACTTTTAGGTCTATTCAAACACGTTTTTGTAGTCCACACTGCACTCTGTCACTGCAGCTACTCTGCCAGCACAAGCAGGAATAGACCATTTCAAACTGCAGTGCAATTCTATATCACTCTGATGAGTAAATGCTATAGTAATAATTCTAAGCCTCTAATTTTCCCAACTGCCTAAGGATGCCAGATACCAGCTCCCACACTATTAAAAAAACAAAAGTATTTTAATAAGAAGACCTATGTCCAACTAATCCTTAGGGCTTTACTTACAAAAGCCAAGTCAGAATTAAGGAAGTGTAATTGAATTACACTTGCCAGCAGCTTTTCTTTGTCACTGTGCTGGGCTTGGCTGGGGTAGAGTTAATTCTCCTCACACTAGTCAGAATAGGGAAGCAATTTGGCTTTTTCGCTGGGAACAGTGTTGATAACACAGGGATGTTTTTGTTATTGCTGACAGGGCTTGCCCAGAGCCAAGGCCTTTTCTGCCTCCCATCCCACCCCAGCAGTGAGGGGGCTGGGGGTGCACAGGGAGCTGGGAGGGGACACAGCCAGGACAGCCAACCCTAAGTGACCCAAGGGATATACCATAACATATGGAGTCATGCTCAGCATGTAAAGCTGAGGGAAGGAGAAGGAAGGCGGGGGACATTTGGAGCTGAGGTATTTGTCTTCCCAAGTCACCCTCACCCGTGATGGGGCCTGCTCTCCCGGGAGTGGCTGAACGCCTGCCTGCCCATGGGGAGTGGTGACTTCATTTCTTGTTTTCCTTTGCTTGTGAGAGTAGCTTTTGCTTTACCTAATAACCCATCTTTTGTTTGACCTAATGACCCATCTTCACCTCAGCCCACAGGTTTCTCACTGTTACTCTCTCACCCTGTTGTGGCGAGTGAGGGAGCCCCTGTGAGGTGCTGGGGATAAACCCAGCTGGGGAGGAACTCCTGACGGGAGCTGAGCCCACCACTCTGCAGCAGATACATCTTGAAACATTTGTGGCTCTGCCTCAGGTCATGCTGGGACACCTCAAAGTGTTTGCCAATGTCTTGGTTTGGAAAGACAGGAGTCTGCTAAGGAAGGCAGGAGCCTGCCCTGAAATGGAGAATGTTCCCCACCCCTCCGAATTGCTATAAATTTTAAATTAAGTGCTCTTAGGCAAAAATATGGGAGCAAGAAATAACAGTTCTTAATAGGGGAAGGGAAAAAAATAAAAGGGTAAAATAAACAATGCAGTACACTAGAACAACACTGACAGAGTCAGAACCCAACCTGACACCCTGTGGATCAGGGTGTTGGTGGCAGTCCAATTAGAAATGTGGCTGCGGTCGTCCTGAAGTATCAGAAGTGGTTCTGTTAGAGCAAGGGGGATGTGTAGAGAAGGATGTATTCTTCCTCTGAAGATCCAGTGGAAGAAGAAGACAGCTGCTGTTTCTGTGGGGAATCCCATGGAGAAAGTCATGCTGATGTCTCAAAAACTTCTGGATTATATCTGGGTAGCAATGCTTGGCTCCTTCCCCTGGGTGGAGCATCTCACAATGGGATATTATAGTTCTTATCAGTCATGCAGTAACATTCAATAGTCTGTTATCAGCAGATGTCCCCTCCTCAGGGAGGTATGAGTGTGGTCACTCACAGGGAGAGATAAAGCAAACTGCCCACTTGACAAAGGTAATCTGCCATACAGATGGTAATTGGAAACATCTTGCATTGCAATCTTCAACAGCCAAGGGTAAGCCCAGGGCAGAGCAGGCACACCCCTGCAGGGCAGTAGCCATGGGAAGGCCTTGCCCACATGGGTATCTGTGAGACTGTGCCTCGTAGATAAGGCTGTACTTGGAGCAGGTACAGCCCTAAGGTGCTGCACTCTGTGGATCAATCCAAGCCCAAGCATGGGCAAGAGGAAGAGCTCATTGCAATGCTGAACCTTATTTAGTCCAAAGGGATCAAGGTGGAGATTGTTGTGGAAATACCTTAAAATTCTGATATCCGTGATTTCAGAATTCCCATGGCAGGAACTCCTTGCTTCTAGTCAGAGTAGGAGCAAGAGGAAGAGTTCACTGCAATGTGAAAGCCTATAATTTAGCCCAACAGTACCAGGGATGGAGATTGTGATGGATTTATGCTTAAACTGCTGTAAACCATTATTTGAGTTGTGTGTTATAGGATTTACTACAGCAGGAAGTGCTCCAGAGTGGAAAACCACAGTGGAGGACAAATGATACAAGAAGTAGTGCAGGTACAGCAGTGACATGACCTGAGGTGGCTTTGGTGCCCAATAACTCCACTCAGCATACCATCTCTCCTGTCCTGAGTGACCACCACACACAATTTTACACCTCTAATTCTCTCCCTTGTTCTGTTGGATGGCTGGGGTTAAGCCTCAACAGCTACAGTGAATATCA